CCCCGCCGCCAAACGTGGCTCCGAATAGGGTCCCTACCCGGCCCACGCTAGTGACCTCCGCAAAACCGCGCGTAATTAATAACATACCTTGCGCAATAAAGATTAAGCTAATTTCCGAGTATTTCTCGTCTGATCAATCGTTACCCTTCCTGCACCTCCAACCCCGAGAGCGTAGATAGAGTGAACCGCATGATGATACGCCCTTAGCAGAGATCTAAGTTATCTCAACATACGCTGGGCATTCCCCAGGGATCTGACGCTTCCTCTAAACTCTCTAAATTATTTCGACACCGGAGGTACAAGAAGACCGCGATAAATCCTCAAATAATAATATTATGCCCGATAGACATTGTGCCGAATTAAGAAGGCACTGGTGACAGCAACCTGCCCGCGGCAATAACAGCCGAAATCAGATCAGCTGAAGCCAAGGCTTCGCCCCGCGCGCTCCGCTCCGCGCTCGCGCTCCACCGACCCAGTCGCGTCTCTCGCATCAACAACAAACGCGAATTCGGACGTGACATTATAATTATATAAAATTGTATATACATAAAATTGATATATTTTATATACAATTACACATAGTTATATATAAAATATGTCGATATATATAACATTTTTTCCCGGGTATATATATGTAATAAAAGCATGATCATTATTAAGAGAAAGAAACAACTTTACCAATATCTACATCTACTTCATAGTCATCAAGCAACTCGTTTTGAAAATCAGTGACATTGAGAATTTCACATTCGACATCATCTTCAGTGAGAGACTCTTCCATCGAGTCGACGTCAATACCACTGGTGAGACAAGTTTCATCCATTGTGGAATTGTGTGCAACAGTATTGCTTCCTTCAGTAAAAACGTCCGCAGAATGCTTCCCTAATATATACCAGCGAAGTCTGTAGTGAATGCCTAATGCTGTTGGCTTATCATTTGCGGCTCCCATTGCTCGTATATATATAGGAAAACAGATTTTCCACATCTTGATTCAATCGGCTTATTGTTATATATGACATTTCTAAATTGTTTGTATTGAACTTTTCTCGTAAATCAGAGTAAAGATGCTGTAACGATGAATTGCAGAGAAGAATTCCTTTTTGAAAAGGAAGTATACTTTGCCGATTACCAACTTTCATTTTTTTAACTGTTGATGTAACTTCGGTAAGAATCTTGTTCTGTTGCAAAATATCAACGCCATAACCATTTTGTCCAGGATGATGTCCAAATTTGCAGGTACTATTGAAAACATTTTAAGATGCCTTCATCAATGTTGAAATCCGCTATCCATTTTCGAAGGGTTGACTTGCAGGTAAAGGAAATTGTTTTGTTTTCCTCAGATACCTATAAGCTTTTGGGCTTGTGCTTTTTAACGAAATTACAGCCGCAATATCCTCCTTAGTCCAATGGGTCTTCTTCTGCTTCGGATTTAAAAGTATTTTTATTTGTCTTGGTGTGAAAAACGGAGATAACTTGTCCTGCATTTCCTGTGTCAACTGCTCTTTGTGCAGTTTATCTTTCAAAGCAAATCGAACGTTTAAGGGCTTTCGTTTCCAGACGTAAGGTTTTCGTTTTCAGAAGTAAGGTTGCATTTCTGCGTTGTAATTTTTGCATTTCCTGAGAGATATCTGCCTCAGCATGAAAGAAGAAATATATTATTATAAAAAATTAAAGTTAATAAAAAATTAAAGTATTAATTACATTTGTGGTAAAAGCAAATTAAGAAACAGGTGAAATACAGTGACAGAACGTACCAAAGTTAGGAACCACTGCAGTGTTCAATGCAATTTGAGTTGCACAGCTCGATGCAGAGGTCGACGCAGCACAATCCGTATCTGGATTAAACTAGCAATGGGCAACGGGTTGTGCAACATGCTTCTGAAAATATATTTAATACATAAAAGAAGGCAAAGTACAAGACAAGTACTGTTGGTATATATTATAAAAATTATCGCTTGTGAAATGCTTGATGTTATAATAATCACTTTAAATGTTAAAAATGGACTATATGTATACCCAAATCGTTATGGAAATTTGGTTGTTCTCTATGGCTGCCAGTGGAACTACATCACGTTTGAATCTTACTCGTATATTCCCAGATTCTCCAATTAAATTTTTTAACCATGATTGATCTTCAAATTGTGAATGATGAAAATGTTCCGAACAGACACGAGCTAGACAAATCAATAATATACTTAATAAATCAATTTCAATTACATTTTATTAATTACAATATCG